TATATATATATATATATATATATATATATATATACTTGGTGGGTCTAAAATTATTATTTCGATGAGTTACAATCAGAATGACTCACTAAATATAACCTCCGTACTATACTAGGTATAAAAAGGGAAGGGATGTTTTTCTTTTTGACAATTTTTTGATTATTGTCCATTTTTACATTTCACGGTGCAGGGGCGTAAAAATCGGAAAAGAGTTAGGGAGTTTTTATTGAAAAATCGGAATTCAGCAAAGTTTTTGCAACGAAAAACTCGATACTACAATGGCAACCTTTTAACAATTCTGAATTCCCCAGAATTATGATATGTTGCCATTGCAGTATCGAGTTCTTCGTTTTCTATAAAATAGCACAACTCATTGAAGGGTATATGCAGAAAGACCCTTGGCCCATATAATGTCAACCAGTAAATGCCCATCTGACAACCAAGTTTTCTGCCAAAAAAATCAAATTGTGATTTGAAATTCAAAGAATGGCAGATTTAAAATTTGCAAAAATTACAAAAAAATCTACATTTTTTTTTTGTCAAAAGTAATCTTCTTGTCCCACCTTATATAGGCCTTGGGAAGAACCCAATTCAGTGAAAAAATTCCCAGAGAAAAAAATCTAATTCAGCAAAGCTTTTCTATAGAAATATCCAATTTATTTGAGGTTTTCTACCAAAAATTCCGACATCTGAACAAATTTGATGTAAAAAAACGTAATTCGCCCAAGTTTTGTCCAATAGAAAGTGAAAATTTCACGATATCAGCAATGATTTTCTCTCATTTCAAATTTCTCTTTTCCCCATAATATCTCGTTCTCCTCGAATTAAAATGCAATTCCATTCCAATTTATTTCAGGATTTCTATCGAAAACCCCACATCTGAACAAATTTTATGTAAAAAAACGTAATTCGCCCAAGTTTGGTCCAAGAGAAAGTAACACTTCCACGATATCAGCAATGATTTTCTCTCAAATCGAATTTCTCTTTTCCCCATAATATCTCGTTTTCCTCGGATAAAAATGCCATTCCATTCCAATTTATTTCCGTTTTTCTACCTAAAATTCCAATTCTGAATAAAATTTGATTTGATTTAAAAGTTACACTTCCACGATATTAGCAATGATTTTCTCTTAGCTCAAATTTCTCTTTTCCTTCTAAGATCTCTCCCTCTCTTAAAAATGACTTCATTCCACACCTCTGCTCTCACTCTATTTACCTCTCTCTTTCTCTTTTCCTTCTAATATCTCTACTCTCCCTTAGAAAAAACTCCATTCCACACCTCTGCTCACACTCTCTCTCTCTCCCTCTCTTCCTCTCAGCGAATTATTTAATAAATTAGCAGCAACACCACTGCTTCTACCACATCCATGAAATATGGACGCATTTCACTGTAAGTTCCTTGACCATAACACCCATCCATTATCAGCGGTGTCGGTGGTGGTAAAATAGGCTCTGACGTAATTTCTGTTGCTTCTATTGTTGTTGTAGCTACGTTTTTCTTTTCTTGTTGCGTGTTATATGTTTTTGGTGTGTAAAATAAATAATTTTGCTGTTTTGTTGTTGGTCGTCTTGTTTAACAATTGTGATAGCAGCAGTGGGAATAAAGCTTTGCAGAAAAGAAAAACATAAATTAAAGCTTTGATAAGTAAAACGTAATGTCGATGGGAGTGCAATAAAAGTAGAGCATACTTTGAGGCTGAAAACAATAATGAGTGTAAGAAATCAATGTTTTTAAAAAACAAATTTAATGAATGCAGTTGGAAAATCGAATGGAATCTAAAACCAGTAAAAAAAGATTAAAAGCCGGGCGGAGTCGATTTTATGATACCCTACACCACTCTATATTTATGCTACCCGCAATAAATAAACGTTCATTTTACGGCTGTGAAGGACAAAAATAACAAATCGGATGAACAATATATAAGGCAGCTTTTGCTAAATCTGCACCGATTTTCACCAAATTTCACTTAATTGCTTCTAGGCTTAATTTGATTGCATGTTCCGAATTTCATCCTATTTGGGTCAATATTACACATTTGATGAGAAAATTAAAAAAATCGGACGAAGTTATTTATGTGAGCTATATCTAGATTTTAACCGATTAGACCCAATTTCAATAGAGTATGTCCTTGAGCCAATGAAATGCTGAACATCAGCTGATAAAGAGTTGACCTAAAGCTGACCAATAGCCAACCAAAAGCTGAAGAACCAAAAAAAAAAAAGCTGGTCAATGTCAGAATCTCAGCTCATCATCAGCTGACCAACCAAAAATCACCAAAAGCTTATCAATAGCTACCAAAAGCTGAACCATGTCTGAACATCAGCTGACCAACAATTGATCATCAGCTGATCACCAACAGTTGATCTCCAAAAGCTGATTTTTAGCTGACCAAAAGCTGACCGAAAGCTGATCAATAGCTGACTAAAAGCTGGTCATTAAATGACCAAAAGCTGATCAATAGCTGATCAAAAGCTGATCAATATCTGACCAAAAGCTGATCTATGGCTGGCCAAAATCTGATTATGATATGCCGACCACAATCTGAATATCATCTGACCAAAAGCTGATTATCTGATGACCAAAAGCTGATCAATAGCTGACCATAAACTGATCAATAGCTGACCAAGAACTGATCAACTAACTAAAAGCTGATTATCAGCTGATCATCCGAAGACCAAAAGCTGATTATCAGCTGATCATCAGCTAACCAATAGCTGATCATCAGCTAACCAAGAGCTGATCATCAGAAGACCAACAGCTGATTATCATATGCTCATCATCGGAAGACAGCATAGCTGATCATTACAGCTGACAAACAGCTTATCATTATCTGCTGACCAACAGCTGATTATCATATGCTCATCATCGGAAGACAGCATATGATCATCAGCCTATCATCTTCTGCTGACCATCAGCTGATTATCACCTGCTGACCATCAGCCGATCATCACCTGCTGACCAACAGCTGATTATTAACAGCTTATCATCATCGGCTGATCATCAGAAGACAAGAGCTGATTATTAGCTGACTAACACCTAATTACCATCCGCTGATCATCATCTGCTGAGCAACAGCTGACCATCATCTGCTGACCAACAGCTGATCATCATCTGTTGACCAACAGCTAATCATCACCTGCTGACCAACAGCTGATTATCATCTGCTGACTAACAGCTGACTATCATCTGCTGACTAACAGCTAATCAGTATCAGCTGACCAACAGCTGATCAGTATCAGCTGACCAACAGCTTATCATCATCTGCTGATAATCAGAAGACTACAGCTGATTATTAGCTGACCAACACCTAATTACCATCCGCTGACCATCATCTGCTGACCAACAGCTTATCATCATCTGCTGACCAACAACTGATTATCATCGGCTGATCATCAGAAGACAAGAGCTGATTATTAGCTGACCAACACCTAATTACCATCCGCTGATCATCATCTGCTGACTCTCATCTGTTGACCAACAGCTAATCATCACCTGCTGACCAACAGCTGATTATCATCTGCTGACTAACAGCTGATCATTATCAGCTGACCAACAGCTGATTATCATCGGCTGACCAACAGCTGATTATCATCGGCTGATCATCAGAAGACAACAGCTGATTATTGGCTGACCAACACCTAATTACCAAACAGCTGACCACCAGCTGATCATCATCTGCTGTCCAACAGCTGATCATCATCTGCTGACCAACAGCTGATCATCATCTGCTGACCAACATCTGATCATCATCTGCTAACCACCAATTGATCATCAACAGTTCACTAGCTGATTAGCGATTTCCACTAAATAATTGCCTGATATTCTCCAATAGATCTGATTACCAGTTGATTACAAAATATAAAATAAAAATCAGTTTCTCTCTGAGCGAGAGAACCAGTATTGCTGGTCTCGCTCTAAACTTATCATCAGCCGATCGCCAGATAATCATCATCAGTTGACCACCAGCTGATAATAAGCTAGCTGCTCTTTAACTGACTACCAGCTAGCAGAGAGATAGTGAGAGAGAATCAGTGTTCGGGTAAGATGGCCTCTCTCGCAGCTTACCACCAGCTGATCAGTAGATCATCAGCTGACAACCACTTAATTGAGCACCAGCTGACCACCACCTGATCACAAAAATAAAAATCAGAATATTTCTCTCTGAGCGAGAGAAAAAGTATTGCTGGGCTCGCTCTCAACCTAGCTGACCATCAGATAATCATCATCAATTGACCACCAGCTGATAATAAGCTAGCTGCTCTTTAACTGACCACCAACTAGCACAGAGATAGAGGGAGAGGGCCAGGAATACTGGGCCTATCTCTCTCTCAGCTTACCACCAGCTGATCAGTAGATCATCAGGTGACCGCCACTTAATTAAGCAGCAGCTGACCACCACCTAACAGAGTATTAGCTGATCACCAGCTTTTCATCTAGCTACGGATATTGTCCTATAAAAAAAATTATGCATATTTTTCTGTGGAAAAATCAACAACTTGTGATAAAAAAAAAACAAATATTTTTTTAAAGAAAAAATCAGGCGATATCTTCGGAATCTTTTTGACTTTTTTTTTGGAAATTGATATGAGGAGTTCATGTTTATATGCATTATTTTTTCTCCTATAGAAATTGAGACTTAAATTTTTTTTTAATAAAATTGATTTTTTTTAGTTGAAAAATGTCGTAGAAAAATATTTTTAATTTTTTTTTTTATTTATTTTCAAAGTATTTAAGGTTAAAAAATATACAATATTAAAGAACATATATAAAAAAACAGTAAATCTTATTAACTAGATATTGCACATTTTTTAATACGTTTTATTAAACAAAAGATATGTCCTATTTAAGGAGAGAAGAAAAGGGACTTATTCTGAAATTATGGAATAAAGAGAAATAAATGAGGAAATTAAGAGAGAGAGAGTCAAATGAATTCAAACTTAAAAACAAAATGAGAAACGAAAAAAATAATTAAATTAAAATGAACATTACATATAAATCAGTACCATGTTGTTACTCTCCGGGAGAGGGGGGGGAGAGAGAGCCAATATTGCTGGCCTCTCTCTCATTTCTTTGTGCTTATCACTTGGGTGGTTTTGTACTCCACCGTTGAACCCTTTTCGGCACCAAATTTATCGCGCACAAAATCGGTGATCTTTTTCAAATCTTGATCGGCTTTTTCGGCCGCATCGGCTGCCGAAGCTCTTCGCTTGTGATTAATGCGGCCTCGAGCCCTGGGCTTGGTGCCATGGGCATGATAGTTGAAGGGTCTTTGGGTTATGGCCACTACTTGTTGTTGTTGTTGGTGATGTTGCAGCTGATGCTGTGGCACTGAGACCTGTTGCTGCTGATAATGCTGCTGATAATGCTGCATAGATTCATGAGATTCCTGTTGTTGATATGCCTGCGAGGCATGAATTTGCTGTTGATAGTCCTGATGATAATCCGGCACAGAGTGAGGGGCATGTCGTTCATTGGGTTTAATGGAGGGCAGGGGATACATGTTGGAGTAATCGGTGCCGGCATGTTCGGGATTGTGGGTGAATATGACTTTGGTATGTGAGGGCCGGGGATTATTTTCGGTTATGGGCAAGTGAGCATGATCGCCCACATCAGCCACCGGTTGTTCGGGGACATAAATGGCATGGGGTTCCTCGGCCTGGTGTTGGTGCTGGTGTTGCTGCTGAGGTTCGTTTGCATAATCGCCAATGGCCTGGGGAGTCATGGAAATGAGAAAGACATGTTGATAGGTGGCTGGTGGTCCCTCCGGCTGGGCATATTCCTGTTGATGGGCATAATAATACTGGGGCTGTTCGGCCTGGGGTGCATAATGTTGTTGTGGTTGTGGCTGGTGTTGTTGTTCAGGCTCTGGGGCCTGATAGTAGGCCTGTGACTCAGGTTGTTGGGCCTGTTCGGGATGTGTGGGATGTTTGTATTTATAGGTTTGATAGACATCATCAATGGGCGGATATTGGGCCTGGGGTGCCTCCTCATATTGCACTTGTTGTTGTTGATATTCCTGGTGATGTTCCTGGGCTATGGGTGCTGCGGCTGGAGCCTCCTCCACATGACCGGCATGTTGGCCATAGTCGATTTCCTGTAGCTGTTGTTGATGTTGTGGCTCATGTTCGAGTTGTTGTTGGGAATAGTGTTGTTGTTGTTGCTGGTGTTGAAGATGACGTTGTTGTTCCGCCTCCTCTAAAATCCGTAAATATTGCGCAGCGCGTATTTCCAAATATTGCTGCAGCAAAGTTTGCAAATGTGAAGCATACTTTGCGGGGCCGGGTATGCGCAAGACAATAACAGGTTCTTCATATTGTTGTTGTTGTGGTGCCTGCTGCGGATGGTGTTGTTCGGCTGAAAATTGTTGATGCTGAGGTTGCTCCGGTTGTGGCAAATCTACTTGGGCGCCATCATTGTGCGTTACATAGGTTTGTGGCTTCAGTTCATAGGAATAGGAAGGCTCCACCGAAACTTCGGTCTTACCATTGGGCAGAAAGTATTTGGGTCCATCACTGGGTATGTCCTTCTGGGAGTAGGGATAGAATTCGAATTTCGGTGGATTGTAGTTGTAGCCATTGTGCGAATAGCCATAGCTGAAAGGGAAGAAGGGGGGGAAATGTTAGATAAAATGGAATGGGAAATTTGAAATGTTTGCAGGAAATGAAAATGGGCCATGTAGGTCCACGTATTGGTATAGCCCCCATGTAACCGTACCTCCCGATATTCGGTATTTTGATGATTTTAACGACTTTTATTCACCGGAATTGTTTCAAATTTGGTATTTGAAGTTGCTAATGGCCTGTGGCAAAAAATTGTCTGCGCAGGTCCCAGCCTTCGTATAGCCTCCATTACACGGTACCTCCCGATTTTCTATATTTTGATAATTTTAGCGACACTTTTCACCGGAAATGTTTCAAATTTGGTATTTGAAGTTGATAATGGGTACTTCAGCCTGTGGCAAAAAATTGTCTGTGCAGGTTCACGTCTTCGTATAGCCTCCATTACACGGTACCTTCCGATATTCGGTATTTGGATGATTTTGGCGACATTATTCACCGAAATTGTTTCAAATTTGGTATTTGAAGGTCGTAACGCATACTTCAACCTATGACAGAAAATAGTCTATGTGGGTTCACGTCTTCGTATAGCCCCCATATAACGATACCTCCCGATATTCGGTATTTTGATGATTTTGGCGACATTATTCACCGGAATTGTTTCAAATTTGGTATTTGAGGTTCATAATGGATGTTAGAGCCTATGTCAGACAATTGTCCTTGCAGGTCCACGCCTTCGTATAGCTCCCATATATCGTTACCCCCCGATATTCGGTATTTTAATGATTTTAGCCAAACTTTTCAGTGGAATGGTCTAAAATTTCACTCAAGGAGTTCCTTATGAGTACTTCATCCCCTGGAAGAGTATGGTCTATATAGGTCCACAATATTGTATAGCCCCCATATAACGATTTTCATTTGAGCGGTATTTTTTTTCTTTCGACGGATTGTTATACCCTACACCACAAGGTGGTCAGGCTATTATGTCTTTGTGCATTTGTTTGTAACAGGCAAAAGGAAACGAGATAGACCCATAGTACCTTTTGATGATCTGCATAGAATCACATTCTGAGTCGATTTATGCATGTCCGTCCGTCCGTCCGTCTGTCCCTGTATTTTTGTAAACCAAGTACAGTTCGCATTTATTATCTGAGCCAGATGAAATTTTGCACAAATCATTTGTTTGGCTCAAGGACGAACCCTATTGAAATTGGAGATAATCGGTAAAAATTTAGATATAGCTCGCATATATATCTTCGTCCGATTTACCTTTTATTGTGCACTAAACGTGTAATATCAACCCGAATAGTATGGAATTTTGCACATACAACCAGATTAGGCCTGAAAATAAGTATGCCAAATTTGTTCGAAATGGGTTCAGATATAGCTATAGCTCCCATATATATTGTTCATCCGATTTGTTATTTTGGTCCTCCGCAGCCGTAATATGCACTCTGTAACAACAATATTTTGGGGAAATATATCAAATACAGCTCAGAAATATCTTTGCTAAATTTTATTGAGATCGGTTCCGATTTGGATATAATCTCCCTTATATAACTTCGTCCGATTAACCTTTTATTGTCCTCTAACGTCTAATATTTGCCCAAATGGGATGAAATTTGGTATTTACGACCGAATTGAGTCTAGAAGCTAGTATGTCAAATTTGATCGAAATCCGTTCAGGTATAGCTATAGCTCCCATATATATTATCCCTCCGATTTGTTATATTTGCTATCCACAGCCGTAATATTCACCCGGTAACAACGTTATTCAGGGAAATATATGAAATACAGCTCAGAAATATCTTTGCCAAATTGTATCAAGATCGGTTCAGATTTCGATATAGCTCCCATATATGTATCAAATGGGCAATACAAAATACAAGTCCAAATTTAAAAGATACAAATGCTTCGGCATTATTTAGTCCTTTGAACTTTAAATTATAATTATAATCATAGCGTGTATGATTGAATTCTCCCATTAAAACTTTTAATTGTTATGCGGAGCTCTACTAAATTAGCAAAGTGGTATACCCTAAACCACTTTGCTCGGCCCCGTCCGACTTAAGACTTTCTTTACTGTTTTTTTTTTTTTTTTTGAAAAATTTTCAAGTTTTTTCCAAATGGTGGAGGTCCGGCCGAATTTAGCTGCTTTTTTATTGGTATTTATTGTTTTATTTAAAAATATATTTTTATTTAAAATATATATTTTTATAAAAATATATTTTTTTATAAAAATATTTTTTTTTATAAAAATATTTTTTTATAAATATATTTTTTATAAAAAAAATATATTTTTTTATAAAAATATATTTATTTATTTAAATATATTTATTTTTTTTATAAAAACATATTTTTTATAAAAAAATATATTTTTTATAAAAATATATTTTTTATAAAAAAATATATTTTTTTATAAAAATATATTTTTTATAAAATATATAAAATATATTTTTTTATAAAAAAGGTGTTTTGCATTAATTTCCACTCACCCCAGCTCCCCGTCAATGGTCCTCTTGCTGTTCTTGCCCGATGATCCCGGCGCTGTTGAATTATCATTTTCTACCTTGATTTTCACCTTGCCACCATGCTGTTTGAACTGCTTGTCCAGTTCCTTGATAAAGGCCAAATCATCGGCTGGCAGATCTTTGAATTTATCGGTTATGTCAGCCACCTTCTTGAGCGATGTCGATTTGGTTGGACGTTTCTTTAAAGTGTTGACCTTTTTCGGATATGATAGCTTCTCGTTAGCTTTGGTGGATGCTGGTGCTACCGTTGTTGTTGTTGTTGCCTTCGATGATGATGTTTTTGTTGTTGTTTTTGTGGTATCTTTGGTATTTGACGATTTATTGGCTGCATGACCATATTCCGTTAAAAGTAAAACAAATAAACAACACTAAACAAAAGAGAACAGCAAAAAAAAAAAACAACAACAAACAAATGAGAAATTTTATTACGTATACGTAAAAAACAAAAACAAAAAAAAAAATTATAAAAATAACAACAACAACAACAAAGAGTTACAATTGATTTTAAACGGCCACATTGCATTGACCATTGGCTGCAACAAGTCAATCATGTCCATTAACAACATCCAGCCATGTGGTGGTTGGCTGGTTGGATGGCTGGTTGGATGGCTGGATTGTTTGCCTGAATGGATGGCCAATGCTGCAACATAAACAATTGCATTGAACGTAAACTTTCGATAGGTTTCAATGTTTTGCTCTTTTGTGTGTGGGGAGAGGGGAGGAGGAAGAGCAGGGGAGAGGGGGTATTTTTCAAAGAAAACAAAATTTGTTTCCAATTTGTTTTTGCAGCAGAGTGTCCAGATGTTTTTGGCAAAAGGCCAAAATCAAACCACCACTTCTCCAATTCCATGGCGGGGTAAATTTGGAAAAACAAAAAAAAAAAAAAAATACATCAAAGCCGTCACCTAACCTTTATCCCTTTTAAAATCTAGTTCACCAAACCAATTCCATGGCGGGGTAAATTTGGAAAATCAAAAAAAAAAAAAAAAAATAAAAAAATAAAAAAAAAACAACATCGAAGCCGCCACCTAACCTTTATCCCCTTTAAATCTAGTTCACCAAACCAATTCCATGGCGGGGTAAATTTCGAAAATCAAAAAAAAAAAAACAACATCGAAGCTGCCTCCTAACCTTTATCCCCCTTAACATAGTTCCAAGTCTTGATGTGATCCCCGATAAAACAGGAAATCATAGGTGGTCTTCTGGCATGGTTTTTGCATAAGTTCGCCATGCAAATGTGTGTCTGGGTGTATGTGGGCTTATACAATGTTCACAGCACAAGGTATTAATTTTTTTGAAACCACAATTTATAACCTCCCCAAAAATCATGGGGGTATTTCTTTTTTTCTGGTCAGGAAGCTTAATTTTTGTTTTTAGAAAGAAAAAAAAAAAAAAAAAAAAAAAAAAAACAACAAACTGGTCTGAAGAATGAGGAAGTGATTGCCAAAAACAAACAGAGATTTGGTAATCATTAAACGAAAGACTTAAGAAACAAACTTGATAACTTTATCTCTCATCTCTGGCAATTGGGTGGAGAATATTTTTAATTACAAAACGAAAGACTTAGGAAACGAACTTGGAAAAAAAATTGAAATATTGAAAAACCAAAAACAAAACAAAAAAAAAAAAAAAAACAGTAAAAAAAGCCTTAAAGTCGGGCGGGGCCGATGAACAATATATATGGGAGCTATGGCTATATCTGAACCGATCTTCACCAAATTTGGCATACTAGCTTCCAGACTCAATTCGGTGGTAAGTGCCAAATTTCATCTCATTTAGACAAATATTAGACGTTTGGTGGACAATAAAAGGTAAATCGGACGAAGTTATATATGGGAGATTATATCCAAATCCGAACCGATCTCAATGAAATTTAGTAAAGCTATTTCTGAGCTGTATTTGATATATTTCCCCAAAAAATTGTTGTTACAAAGTGCATATTACGGTTGCGGAGGACTAAAATAACAAATCGGATGAACAATATATATGGGAGATATAGCTATATCTGCACCGATCTTCACGAAAGTTGGCATATTAGCTTCTAAACTCAATTCGGTGGTAAGTACCAAATTTCATCCCATTTGGACAAATATTAGACGTTTGGTGGACAATAAAAGGTAAATCGGATGAAGTTATATATGGGAGATTATGTCCAAATCCGAACCGATCTCTATAAAATTTAGCAAATGTATTTCTGAGCTGTATTTGATATATTTCCCCAAAAATTTGTTGTTACAGAGTGCATATTACGGTTGCGGAGGACCAAAATAACAAATCGGATGAACAATATATATGGGAGCTATAGCTATATCTGAACCGATTTCGATCAAATTTGACATACTAGCTTCTAGACTCAATTCGGTCGTAAGTACCAAATTCCATCCCATTTGGACAAATATTAGACGTTTGGTGGACAATAAAAAGTAAATCGGACGAAGTTATATCTGGGAGATTATATCCAAATCTGAACCGATTTCGATAAAATTTGGCACAGATATATTTCTGAGCTGTATTTGATATATTTCCCCAAATATTGTTGTTACAGAGTGCATATTACGGCTGCGGAGTACCAAAATAACAAAATCGGATGAACAGTATATATGGGAGCTATAGCTATATCTGAGCCGATCTTCACCAAATTTGACATACTAGCTTCTAGACTCAATTCGGTCATAAGTGCTAAATTTCATCCTATTTGGACAAATATTAGACGTTTGGTGGACAATAAAAAGTAAATCGGACGAAGTTATATATGGGAGCTATATCGAAATCTGAACCGATCTCAATGAAATTTAGTAATGGTATTTCTGAGCTGTATTTGATATATTTCCCCAAATATTGTTGTTACAGAGTGCATATTACGGCTGCGGAGGACCAAAATAACAAATCGGATAAAAAATATATATGGTAGCTATAGCTATATCTGAACCGATTTCGATCAAATTTGACATACTAGCTTCTAGACTCAATTCGGTCTTAAGTGCTAAATTTCATGCCATTTGGGCAAATATTAGACGTTTGGTGGACAATAAAAAGTAAATCGGACGAAGTTATGTATGGGAGATTATATCCAAATCTGAAGCGATCTCGATAAAATTTAGCAAAGATATTTCTGAGCTGTATTCGAAATATTTCCCCAAATATGGTTGTTACAAAGTGCATATTACGGCTGCGGAGGACCAAAATAACAAATCGGATGAAAAATATATATGGGAGCTATAGCTATATCTGAACCGATCTTCACCAAATTTGACATACTAGCTTCTAGACACAATTCGGTCGTAAGTGCCAAATTACATCCCATTTGGACAAATATTAGACGTTTGGTGGACAATAAAAGGTAAATCGGACAAAGTTATGTATGGGAGCTATATCGAAATCTAAACCGATCTCGATAAAATTTGGCAAAGATATTTCTGAGCTGTATTTGATATATTTCCCTGAATATAGTTGTTACGGAGTGCATTTTACGGCTTCGGGGCACCAAAATAACAAATCGGATGAAAAATATATATGGGAGCTATAGCTATATCTGAACCGATTTCGATCAAATTTGGCATACTTATTTTCAGGCCTAATTTGGTTGTATGTGCAAAATTCCATACTATTCGGTCTGATATTACACGTTTGGTGCACAATACAAGGCAAATCGGACGAAGATATATATGGGAGCTATATCTAAATTTTGACCGATTTTCTCCAATTTCAATAGGGTTCGTCCTTGGGCTAAACAAATGATTTGTGCAAAATTTCATCTAGATAGGGCAATAAATGCGACCTGTACTTTGTTTACATGGACAGACGGACGGACATGCATGCACATGGAGGGTATAAAAAATGATATATTTAATGTTGTTCTGTTGATTTTTTTTTTATTTTTTGAAATGCAACAAATTTCATGCCTTGCATGCCTCTCAAAGTTGTGTGGCCACAACATGCACAGCTGTTTTGTTTCTGCTTCTGTTTTTTTTCTATTTGTCTTTCCTTTTTGCCAGGTGACGCAACTTTCATGTCTGTCATTAAAAAAAAGCGGCCACTACAAATCCCAACCAAAACTGCAGCCTACAATTTTTTTTCTTCGTCTTCTTCTTCTTCTCTTTCTTCCATTAAATATGAAAATGTGTAGGAAAAATTACAATAATAACACTTACACAACAAATCGAATGCACGGCATGCATTCGAAGTCGTCGTATGCAACATTGCACCATTGCAATTTGGTGTTCATCAGGCGAAAATAAGCTAAACCAAATACGACTCGACTAAAGTCAACAGAAAAAAAAAAAAAAAAACAGAACCAGTTGCCATTGCAATGACGGGAGACAAACAAATGGCCAAGAAATTATTTCATGAGTTATTGGCTGGTCAGAGCTGCTGTTGGTCATTTGGTGTGGGGCAAGTGACAACAGCAAAAGAAGAAGAAAAAGCAGAGCAAAATATCTGCCTAAAAGGGAGATTTACATACTGGGCAAGGGGTGAAGATTAAGCCGCAGAAGATTTTTAAATATCCACATTTAATATTTTCGTCTTTACGTTGGGCGCCAAATTTGGTTTAGAAGATTTGTAAAAAATAATATAAAAATTAAAAAAAAGTAAAAACAATTCTACCTTGAGGGAGCTCATTGCATCATTCCTTGCCTGGTAAATGTGTAGGGATTCAGTGGCAGAATTTTTTCAAAAATCCTCATTTAACCCATGTGTCTTTATGTTGGGCGCCAAATTTGGTACAGAAGAAATGTAAAATATAATATAAATATAATATTCTATATATACACAGTTTCGATTTTGGATAGCACAAGTTAAAAAGAAAACAGTAAGTTCGGTCGGGCCGAACTTTGAATACCCTACATCATTTGGAACGGATTCGACAATTTTCAAAAAATCAAATCCTTTAAAAATTCTGTTAAAATCTTAAAAATACCGAATATAGCCACTATATTGGGGTCTATACGAAGAAGTGGATCTGCACAGACATTTTTCTGTCACAGGCTGTAGTATCTATCACGAACTTCAAATGCCAAATTTGAAATAATTCCGGTGAATAATGTCGTTAAAATCCCTAAAATACAGAAAAAAGGGAGGTACTGTTATATGGGGGCTATACGAAGACTTGGACCTGCATAAACAATTTTCTGTCATAGGCTGTCGTACCCGTTACGAACTTTAAATACGAAATTTGAAACGAATTCGGTGAAAATTGTAACTAAAATCATGAAAATACCAAATATCGGAAGGTACCTTTATATGGGGGCTATACGAAGACCTGAACCTGCACGGACAATTTTCTGTCATAGGCTGTAGTCTCTATTACGAACTTCAAATACCAAATTTGAAACAACTCCGGTGAATAGTGTCGCATAAATCACTAAAATACCGAAAAAGGAGAGGTACCTTATATGGGAGCTATATGAAGACGTGGACCTGCACGGATAATTTTCTGTCGTAGGCTGTAGTACCCATTACGAACTTCAAATATCAAATTTGAAACATTTCTGGTGAATAATGTGACTGAAATCATTAAAATACCGAATATCGAGGGGTACCGTTATATGGAGGCTATACGAAGACGTTGACCTGCACAAACAATTTTCTGTCATAGGCTGTAGTACCTATTAAGAACTTCAAATACCAAATTTGAAACAA